ACTATGTGAAGCACTTGCTGAAAGACTCGAACGGTGACATCAGCCCAGATCTATCCCAAATCTGGCATCTTGCCGCAAGGTTTATCTTTTGTTTCTTTGTATAGGTGAGAAGGGGGTAGAGTAATGAGTAATGGATGTAATGATGTAATGGGCGGTTTGTTGATCGGAATCTCCTTCGTTGGGTGGGTTGTCCACAAGAGGCAGGTGCGGACGCGGTGCATTGAACCAAAAACATATATCTAACCATATCTAACAATTTCCCTCACTATCCAACCGTTGGCCGCCGATCAGCGGGTAATTCCTGGCTTCTGCTGCGTGCGAGGCATGTTTGGTGCAGCACAGTGACCCGGTGATCATCCGGCATCCGACCGTGGTCCTTTTTGCCGAGACTTGCCTAGTAATCGGTGGCACGTTTGCTGCAAAGGGGTCGGAGGATTCCCGTGCTGTTTGGGGGTAGATCCGTGAAGATCTTTATGGTACCAGGGTTGGGCAATGGCCCCTATCAACCAGGTCTGTGTCAGGTGGTTTGACAACAGTCGCCCGCTACAAAAGGTGCAACGCACTGGTGCAGACAAGCAGACAGCAAGCTAAGCAGCTAAGCTAACATCCCGCACTTTCCTTTTGGATCACCCAGTGAAGTTTCACGAGGTTTCATGAAACCCGCGTTTTCCTCAGCCTGAGACCATCTACCAAGGACGTGCTGTGGCAACGCCTCGCCAGCTATCAATTCACGGCCTCCAAGCTCTATTTCCTTTTGACTCTTTTGCGCTTTGGCGGAAAACAGCAAGGCACGACGATTGCTTGGGAAAATCGGACAAGTTGATCAGCTCAACTCGTTTTGAAGCACTCAATTGAGGGTGCCCAAGATTCCGGGTGGGTTGGTTCTGGCGTTTCTTTGGATCAAGATGATCAAGCATATATCACGTTTCGCCATGTTACTTGATACGGTTTGTCATGGTTTTGCTCGTCGGTTTGTTGACATGGAAAGCTAGAAACAATGGCCGTGACTGAGGTCTTTTCGTGGTCAGGCCGCCCTCTTTCGGCACAGCTCCGAACAGACTCAGGTGGAGAATGTGACCATGTTCTGCTGTCGCCTCATGCAGCTTGGGCTGGAAGATGGATGGTGACTCCACTGAAGCCGCTGTTCCAGAACCAAACTTGCAAAAGTATGTATAGAATTTTCCCTCTGAAAGTGGTGTTGAAGAAAAGCACGGAAATCAAAGCAACCGCAATAGCCCAATGGTTGGGGTATGCTGGGGTGTTGGGGTATCCTACCATTTTGAGACGATGCCACGCCTGCTACGCTGCGCTGCTGTGGGCTCCCAGGAATTATGTGGGCAGCTTGGGCCCCTTGACAATCCTCGAGATTCGACAGCTGGTGGCGGATGTCCGAGCAGGCTCATTCAAATCCTTGGGCTGTTTGATGGATCCTCGGAACAAAGACATGAGCCACGCAAGGTGGACAGACAGACAAACTGAATGGTGGCTGTCGGGTTGGCGGGCAGACAGACGGATGGATGGATGGATCGATGGATCGATCGATAGATAGATAGACAGATAGATAGAGAGAGTGAGAGAGGAGGACGGGGAGCGAGATTTATTGCAACAAATGTTGAGCACGGCCAACTCCTGAGTACGCACGACTGAGGTTCCCACATATTTGCTCAATTTTCATGAGTGCCTTCGATTTGTCCTGATGTGGCTCCTCATCATCATGTTCTCCCAGGAGCCTTTCCTTCATTGCCTGAGCGCTATGGACTGCCCGCAGGGGCGACAACACCAAGACGTGTACTCTGGCTGTGCCTTGCCACTGGAGGGAGGGAGATACAGATAGGGGCGGCGACTTTTGTGTTTGTGTTTTTGCCTGAGAGCGACCGCAATTGCATCCAGCCTGTGCTTGCGGCTTACGATCTCACACGTATATAATAAAACTGTGTCGAGCTTTAGGCAGGTTTGGGTGCACGGTATTCATTACAAGTGTGGCACTGTCCATTTTGGCTCAAGCCAAAAGTGGGACAGTGGAGTTTCTGTTCTACTTGAACCCTTGCTGTGTTAGCTGTGGATGGCTTCACAGCATATCGTCGGTGCGCATGTCGCCATGTTCACCGCTACTGAGGTTCTTTCAGCCGCCGCGTTCCTCGAATTCCGCCCCCAGGTTGATGCGCTTTTGGCCCAGGGGGGGCTGGGCAGGTGCCTTGCGGCTTTGGAGCTCGGTGGTCATGTTCGAGCATATGCCTCCTTCCACTCGGCCGGGGGACGGGCCGAGCGTCTGTCCCCGTTGTGATCAGGGGCGAGGGGGCTACCTTTTCCCGTGGATCGGGATCTGGAACCACCGGGGAACGGTTGTTCCGTCGGGACTCACCCCTCAACAAGCCTGGGATCGTCACGCCAGGTTGGAGGCATCCATGGACCTTCTGCTCTTGCAACCTTACCGTGCCCCGTACTTCCCGATGACCTGGCCCTCTTGCCCCTCCAGGCCTTCCAGTCCGAAGTTTTGTATTATATGCGGCACTGGCTCTTGGGATCCCCGCATGGGTTGTGGATCAACCCCTTCCTCGCGCCCTTGCAGGATGCGGACCGGCTGCCCCGTCATTTGGGTGCCCTTCACCCAAAGCTCCGTGCACATTGAGCCCTTCGTGGTTGGCTGGGATCCTCAACGGGGAAACGGAATTTCCTCCGGCATGTTGTGGCTGTGGTGACCCTACATATCGGCAGTGCCTTGGTTGTATCAAAGGAGTGTGCGACACCTGTTTCCCCTTGCTCCAGATTTGCCCGCCCTGCCGCGAACTTTCTTCGTCTGATGACAATAGTGGGTAGTTCCGTGGGTGCCCAAGCCATGGCGTACCGTGCGCAGGTCGCAGAGACCGTGGAAGCGCCTGCTGAGGCCTCAGCGTCCTATGGCGGCTGGCGGGCTGAAGACAGTCTGGCCCGCGTTGCTGGGGCCCGCGCTGAGGTCTGGCGACGAGAGAGAGGCTATGAGCGCGATGAGGACTTTGCCTTCGAATTCTCCACCTGGGAAGAGGCAGTGGCTGTGGCTGGCCAGCACTTGGCCGATGCTTGGCTCGCCGTTCGTGTCTCTCAGCAAGATGAGCTCTTGCCAGCTGCTGCTCGCCTAATTGTGCCGGATGAGCGCCCGCCACTCACTCGGAAGCGCAAGGGTGTGCCTCTCGAGGCGGGTGTTCGCCTCCATGAGAAAGTGCTGGATCAACCTGACTCAATCCAGCGCCAAGTGCTTGCCCTGCAGAAGATCTTCTTGTCGGTTGGCGCTTTGAAGCCTCCCGGCCTGATGACAGAGGCTTTGAAGAGGGATTGGCTGATGCCTGGGAGTCAGGCGGGGAGGACTGGCCGGACGCATACCGCCATAGCCCCTATGGGTGTCTCCGAGACGCGAGGCTGCGTCGTGACCTTCTGGCACCAGGGCCGCTCCAGCTTTCCAGGTTTACGCCGGACTGTTGTTTGGCCTCCCACTGGCTGTCACCTCATTCAATCGGTACAGTCGTCTTGTTGAGGCTCTAGGTCGCCGTCTTTGCTACGTGTTGGTGTCTTTGTATTTCGATGATGCTTCCATTCAAGATTGGTCATCCAGCCGAGGTTCGGCTCAGTGGGCCTTCGGGAAACGGCAGCCCATGAGCACCAAGGGCTTGTTCTTATAGGCCTAGATCATGACCTCTCTGCAGCATTGTCAGGGCTTTGTCTCTTTTTGGGCGCAGGAACGCCGCGAGACCAAATTGATGACCATCATTCAAGACTGTCGCAAATCCCAGACCCTCAAACCTGGCGTCGCAGCCAAGCTCTATGGCCTCGCCAATTTCTTCGAGCAAGGAGTATACGGACGCATTGGCTGTGGCGGCCTTCATGCCATCATGGAACGACAACTTTCACGTGGTGACCAGTTGACTCCTGCCATTGAGCAATGCTTTCAGATCCTTGAAGCCGTTGTCTCTATTCACCCAGAGCGTGAGCTTGATGTATGGCCACGGCGCCATGAACGCTTCGTGGCTGCGTCTGACGCCGCTCTGCAACATCCTGGAGAAGGCGCAGGAGGTTTTCTTCTGATTTTCTTTCAGGACTCGACGGAGACCAGACTTGGCTTTGTCTCACAACTCCCCTCATCCATCTATGCTGGGGATGCAAAGATCGCCCAGCTCGAGCTCTTGCAAGTGCTTATCGCTTTGATTACCACGCCTGAGCGATTCCGTAATCGCCGCGGAACATGGTATATTGACAATACAGCCGCCTTGATGGCGCTTATCAAAGGCAGGTCTGATAGCCCTGACTAGAGCACATGAGCCACATGATTCATATTCTTTTGTTTTCGCTCAGCTACTGGATTTACTTTGAGTGGATCCCCTCCAAGAGCAATTGGAGTGATGCGATTTCCCGTGATGGCCACGCGGATCGTTGGCACCACGACCAGGGTTTCACTAGTCGAGTCGCCTCTTTCTTCGAACCACTCTGGTATTTTCCTTTTTCTGCCACTCTGCGAGTAGGTCTCTTTCTTTAAAGTGCGTTGGGAGATACATCGCTATGGATACGTCTTGGTAGACGAGTTTCCATAGATGGGTGTCTAAGCTCCATCCACGAATGGATGTGTCACTATGAACACTGCTCACATGCTGTGAGTTTCCAACGCAACAACGTCATGGCGACGTACCTGGGACCTTCACTTCAGAGGGTGTCCATGGAAAAAGGAAGAGTGCACAGAGCGCAGTCTGGGAAGCACTCTAGTCCAGTAGAGATGCACACACATGTAATGTTTATATATATATATATGTATATACATACATATATAATATATATATTTATTGATATATTTATAGCAGAAATATTTCCAAAGAGAGCTTTTTGCAATTTCTTGCATCTCTTTTGTGGAAGTCAACATCTCTTGGGCCCCCTCCCAAGACTTTGCATTGGTTTTGTCAATCTTTATCAGGTGCCTTCTTGGCTATGATCATTTTTTGGACACAGCTGTTGGACTTGGCCATTTTTTCCGAGAAGATCATGGCGTGTGCTGCCGGGCGCACGCGCGGTGTGTACGAATTTTGCTGATGGATAGGACGAGAGCTATTGCAAGGAGCTACTGGCTCAGCTAGGAGCACAGAGGTTAAGTAGCAGCAATGAGAAGAAGTCGTCTCGGCCCTGCGTGCGCGTAGTGTTTTCTCAAGATAGCTGATATAGTTTTTTTAGTTTCAGTGCACGTTACCCCATGCTATTCCAATGGATCTGCTGGAGCTCTGATCGTAGGGCGACAAGGGTGACAAGTTCAGCTTGGGTGACAAGGGCCCTGGGGGCCTCAGACAGTCAGATGGTCAGACGGCCATTTCCTTCCACTTCGCTCAGGTTCTGGTGTGCAGCTGTTTGGTCGCAGATATGGCTCTATTCCTTTTGGCCCTTCTCACCATTCTCTTGGCCTTTACCGTAGCCATTGGTACCTTGCACCTTGGAAAAGCCATTCACCAAAGTTCTCATTCCTCGGACGGCTGTGGCACAACGTTATGTTTTGGCAAAGTAGTCTAGCAGCTGTCTCGTGCCAGGCATTACCATGTTTCCGAACATGGAGGCGCAGGGGCCTGGCTCAGAGAGTTGACGCTGATGGCCTTGAGGACGCGCATATCAGCTGAGTGATTTCACCAAAACAATCCAAAACAAGACTATATATATATATATACACCTGTGAGCAGCAGAAGGAGGAGGAGCAGCAGGAGGAGCAGGAGCAGGTGCAGGTCACACACACAACTATTCGGACTATTCTAGTCGACAGTCGTCCAATAGTGGTAGGAGGGTGGTCTGGGGTTACCAGATTTTGCATTTGCAGGATGTATGCGCAAGAGCACTATTTGGAGTTGAAGGAGTCATCGATCATCGTCTTTGTGGCTCTTTGCATTTTTGTTTTCTTGTCTGCGATCTTCCTGGCCAACCTCCTGGTAGCGCAGTTCGCACATACTTACCATACTGCCCATGCCAACATGAAGGAAAAGGTTGGCAAACTGTGGCGGCTGTGGCACAGTGTAGTGCTCTTTCCGAGATGTGCATTCTTGGAAAACCCTTTTTGTGTCAAAAAAACTCACCTGGCAGTGGCGAAAAACTCTACTGACTCTACTGTAGCTTGCCCTTGTTTCTGGAGGTTTTCTTCCACAGATCTCTTCAATTGACATTGGCCCTCCAGACCCCTGGATCTCCAGGGCATTGCCCGGCTGAAGCGCGCGAACATCACCTGCACCACCTTGAAAGACATCCCCCAGCACCGGCGTATGGCCTTCCTGGACTCCTTGGGCCTTGAGGCGCGTGAAGGTAGGCATTTTTGAGACTTCTCTTAATTTTGACCATCTTGATCTCCCCAACCGATGTATATAAATGTGAGGTGAGATCCTGTGAAAATGGTCGGTTTCGACTTCGCAGTTTTGCACGATGCGGTTTCGACATGTTTCGACCGGGCTTCGACCAGGAGCCCTTGGAGTTTAACGAGGGTGTGTTTCTTTTTGTTTAGGATTTTTCCTGTTGTATGCTTAAACGAATATCTGGCCGGACTGAAAAGCATCATTTCCAGAGGACAGCCTTCCAAGGGTCGGAAGTTGATCACCAGCTTCACAGTTCTAAGAGTCTAACAAGTTCCATGAAGAGCTTGTTGGTTAGAGGTGGCTGGATTTCATTGACCGGAGGTCTTAGAGCCCGCCATCGAGAGGGTGGTCACAGAGGACGATGGACTTCACGGTGGGCGAGTGTTGAGAAGAAGAAAAATCACATAGCTTGGAGGTCATTTTATCCACAGAAGCATGCTCCTACGTCGCCTTGAGGTGTTAAACAGACCAGGTGTGGAGTGGCTTTAGCCGGAACATCTGACGATTAGCCCATCCGAGGACACCATCAAGCGCTTTGGGGGACCAAGTGCTCCAACCGTACCATGGCCCAAGGAGCACATCGAGGAGGTTTGGCCAGATCGGTGCGCGTTTGGTGGCTGAATTTGGGTTGATGCCGATGGGCTCTGCGCCGGCTCTAACCCACAAAGCTGTGTCATCACTAAAGGGTTGGGAGCACATGGGAAGACTTTCTGCTTTTACTGAACCATGCCGGAGGGAACATCTTGCTTGATTCTTTCTGCGCCTTTGTTAACTTTTCACCGGGTCCAAATCCTTGGATTTATTGCTTAAAAGGGTGCGACCCCCTTTTCAAGCCTTTGCGGCCAGGCTAGACCCCAATGACTGTTGTAGTTGAAGGGCAACTGAAAGGATAAATTACCAACAAGATCATCGATACATGACAGGTGGGACGTGGGGATGAACCTGCCAGCTTTCCCGCCGTGCAGGAGGAAGCGGACAAGCTGGCCGCTTTAGAAAACAAGCTGATGAAGGTTGTCAAGAGTGGCAAGGCTCCGGGGGTCCACGATGACTGAGGGATGGCAGGTGAGAATCTGAGGATGGAACATGGATACTGCGATTCATAATTCATAGATATTCATAGTTTATGTTGGAGGCCTTGTTGAAACTGTTTGAAACTACACTACTACACTACTGTACATTCAACAGTGAGGCGCATCGCAATAGCCGCACTTGTCATGGCGGCAGCGGCGGAGAAGGGAGCGGCCCACGGCCGCTGGCGCGACCGCTGTGGGTGTCAGCATGTGTGAGGAGGAGTGAGGGTGCAACCCCCCCAAGTTGTTGGACAGCCAAACATGCCATCGAGGCCGTCCGGCTGCAGGAATTCACTACATTGTACATTGCATGTGCCTGAGCAGGGGCGTGTACTTGCGTAATTCGTGGGTCACGAAAGCGGGGGCGAATGCGGAGCTGGAGATCTCGGAAATTCAAACATGTCAGGTGGGCGGAGGGAACCATGAGAAATCAGTTGCCTAATGGATCACTGACGTCAGAGGTCATTTCAAGCCCTCCGTCCACATTTTACCGCTGCAGTTGCGCTTGTGTGCTGATAAGGTCATGTATCCTGCAAGCCTGAAAGATCAAGGTCATGAGTCATGCTTGCTGCCAGTGGGCCGCTGGAGGTTATAGCGCTCCACAGGGGTCACTGCTCCGAACAGCTTCGAACGCACCGTATCCCAGAGTTGGTGACAGCGCCAAGATGGTAAGAACGTTTTGGGTTTGACCACATTCCCAGTGCTCTTGATGACTGCCCCGCTTTTTGGTGCTGCTATTTTTCCTCTGCTTCTCAGGTGCATGTTTTCAGAACGCTTTAATCTTCAATCACCTGATCACCTCCAAGTTGGGTTTCGCACGCTCCCTCAAGGGTGCCACTTGTTTCAGACGCTGCAATTGGTTTCTTGGGTTGTGCCTTGCCAGTCATCGAGTGCAAGACGCTGACAGAGGACTCATACCTCAACAGCAAGGCTTTGTCTCTAACAACTTACGGGCAGGCAATAGTTTGCTATTAGGTTGGAGGCAGGCACACTCCAAGATGTAAGTAACAACCGCAACCGTCTTGAAGAATTTGGTTTAAACCCCAGGCGCACACGTTCGCTTGCAGCACGATGTTGGGGTGAGTTTTGAAGTCGGGAGCCAGCCACGGATGGCCATGGCCTATAGAGAGAAAGAAGGACATCCACATCCATGTGCCATGCGCCTTGAAGGGCTCAAAACTCAACACTGCTGCTTTTCTCAGTGTTCTCTTTTGGTTTTGGTGTCGGCCCTGAACCTAGTGAATCTAGTGATCAGTACTGGTCTGATGCCCGAAATCGAATTCGACCAGCCTTTGCATCTGAGCCCAGGTTGTGAGAAAGAGAGAGTGCCACAGATCTGAACCAGCTGCGACCTTTTGTAGGAGGGTGATGCATGAAACATGGAGAAACACGTCAAAGATCTACATATCCACCCTTCAGTTGCTTGATTTGTCCGGCGCGGAACGCTCAAGCTTTGCTGTGCATTTTTTCGGCGGTGCTTTGCTCCCTATGGAGGGCCTAGAGGCGGATGCATTGACGAGCTGGGATGCGGAATCACAAGGCCTGCCGTTGGTCTTTGTGAGTTTCCCTCTTCCACTTCCTCTCCTTCTCCGGGGCTGTTGGCGGGGATGTTTATACTACAGCAACCGCTTTGATCTTTCGGCCTGCTCAGGATAGCGTGGCAAGAATGATCTAGTGATTGCTGTTTTATGTTGTTGTTTTTGCCCCTGCTGGACCTGTGGAGACATATGATGGGGCTCCAGTCCAGTTTTTGTTTGTACCCTCTCCTTCTCGGAGGAAGACCACTACTGGCACGTCAACGACTACTACTAGTTACTAGTCTCACTGCTACTGTAACTAGTTCTTTGCTACAGCCACAACTACAGCAACAGGGACAACGATTACTGTATATACTACATACTGCATACTACGTGCTATATACGACATCTACTATGACTACTTCTGCTCCTGCTACGGCCACTGCTGCTGCTACTACTTCGACTTCTACTACTCCTACTTCTACTTCTACTTCCACTCCTGCTGCTGCAACTACTTACTAGTACTAGTACTAGTACTACTACTACTACTACCACTACTACGACTGCGACTACCACTACCACTACCACTACTACTACTACTACCACCACTACCACTACTACCACTACTACCACTACTACCACTACTACCACAAAAACTACCACTACCACCGGCGGCGGCGGCGGCTATTGCTGCTGCTGCTGCTGCTCCTGCTGCTGCTGCTCCTGCTACTGCTACTGCTACTGCCATGCCTACCACTACTACTACCACCACCACCACCACCACTACTACTACTACTACTATTGCTACTACTACTACTACTACTAGGACCAGGACTACGGGGTAGAGGCAGTAGGTAGGTAGTAGGTAGTAGGCAGTAGGCAGTAGGCAGTAGGCAGTAGGTAGTAAGTAGTAGGTAGTAGGTAGTAGGTAATAGGTGGTGGTGGTGTTCGTCCTCCTCGTCCTCCTCCTCCTCGTCGTCGTCGTCGTACTCGTAGTCCTATAGTCCTATAGTCCTAGGTCGTCGTAGTCGTCGTCGTCGGGTCGTAGTAGTCGTCGTCGTCGTCATCGTCTTCGTCGTGGTAGGTAGTAGCCGTAGTCCTAGTGGTAGTTGTAGTGAATGGTACTAGCCGTAGTAGAAGTAGTAGTTGTAGTAGTAGTCCTCGTAGTAGGTTTAGTAGTGGGATTGGTAGTGGTAGTGGTGGTGGAAGTAGTCGTAGTAGTAGTAGTCGTCGTAGTCGTAGTCGTAGTAGTAGTGGTAGTAGTAGTAGTAGCAGCAGTAGGTGTAGCAGTTGTGGTGGTAGTAGTAGCAGTATTATAGTGGTATTGGTCTTAGTAGTAGTAGTAGCAGTAGTAGTAGTAGTAGTAGGAGTAGTAGTAGTAGTAGTAGCTGTAGTAGTAGTAGTGGTAGTGGTAGTAGTGGTAGTGGTAGTGGTAGTGGTAGTCGTCGTAGTCGTAGTCGTAGTCGTCGTAGTAGTAGTAGTAATAATAGTAGTAGTAGGTAGTAGGTAGTAGGTAGTACTGTAGTTAGTAGGTAGTAGTAAGTAGTAGGTAGTAGGTAGTAGGTAGTAGGTAGTTCGTAGTTCGTAGTTCGTAGTTCGTAGTAGTAGTTGTCGTAGTCGTAGTCGTAGTAGTAGTAGTAGTAGCAGCAGTAGCTGTAGCAGTTGTGGTGGTAGTAGTAGTATTACAGTGGTATTGGTAGTAGTAGTAGTAGCAGTAGTAGTAGTAGCCGTAGTAGTAGTAGTAGTGGTAGTAGTGGTAGTGGTAGTAGTAGTGGTAGTAGTCGTAGTCGTAGTCGTAGTCGTAGTAGTAGTAGTAGTAGTAGCAGCAGCAGCAGTAGTAGTAATAGTAGTAGTAGTAGTAGGTAGTAGGTAGTAGGTTGTAGTTAGTAGGTAGTAGGTAGTAGGTAGTAGGTAGTTAGTAGTAGTAGTAGTAGCAGTAGTAGCAAGTAGTAGCAAGTAGTAGTAAGTAGTAGTAAGTAGTAGTAAGTAGTAGTAAGTAGT